CCGGTCTCTGAGCTCGGGCTGGTCGGCGTCCCGCGAACTCCCACAGAAATATTATAGACTGGAATAGAACTTTTGACTTGGTATCATCTGCTTTCACGATCCGTTTCTGGTCGGAACTTTTTTTACAGGTTTCTAAGGGGTAACTCACAAAAATAGAGCCCTTTGGAAAATTTCGTCCGCTTGGCTCTATCTTTAACCATTTAGGCGCCACAGGGAGTTTTTCACGAAAATAAGCGAAAAAATGTTCAACCCCGCATGCTGCGTCGAAGTGACGGGAAGTTGACGGGCCGAAGGCCCGTAACTTTGTGTACATTTTTGCGCTTCCCCACTCGGGTGTCAGCGCCGCAAGGCCTAGGTAGATGTATGCCAGGCGCGTCGCAGCGCAACAGTGTTTCGTGAGATATCGCGAATCCTGTTACGCGAGACGTGGTCTGGCGTACATCTACCTAGTAGCTAGTTAAAAACAAGGGGGAAAAGTCACGTTTCAAGACTTTTTCGACAAACAATACAAACTTAAAACTGCGCGGTTCGTTTTTTGTTGGCTGAGCGATTAGCGAAGCCCATAATTCCACTGACCGGAAAAGTTTCATTCTGTTTGTTTGTCTGTCTGTCTGTTTGATTGTCTGTCTGTCCGCACGATTACTCGAAAAAAAATTGAGATAGCGACCTGGGATTTTCAGGGTCGTTTTGTATTATAAAAAGACAGATCGAGTTCGAAGATGAGCATTCTAGCTAAAAAATTGGCTATTTAAAAAATCAAAAACTACAGGTCGCAATATGTATTTCTATCAAATGTTTTTTTTTTTTATGGGTTCGTAAGGGGTAACTCGTCAAAGTACAGTCCTATGGACGAAAATTTCGTCCGTTTGGCTCTATCTTGTACCGTTTAGGTGCTAGGCGGCATTTCTTGGCAAAAATGAGGTGAAAATGATCAAATGGTCGATTAAATCGTTAGAAAGACTTCATTTCGAAAAATTGTATATCCACTCCTATTACCCCGTCTTGGGTGTAAGCGCCGCAGGCCTAGCTTTATGTGCGCCAGGCGCGTCGCAGCGTAACAGTGTTTCGTGAGATATCGCGAAGCCTGTTACGCGAGACGTGGTCTGGCGTACATATAGCTAGTATTTTCTTAAGCAAAGCAGAAGGGTCGGGTGTAGTCACGGTGTTGTCCCGTTCGTTACAGTCTTTTGTCATGTGAAAGGAGCAAATCTCTAGGGGCGCAGGCCTACCGCCGGAAGTTAGTTTACTCAAATAGCAAAGTGACTTACCGGTCACAATATTTATTTGGTTATTTTCTTCAGTAAATCGCGAGACTGAAATGGTCAGGCCGCAGGCCCGACCATCGCCGCCGGCGGGCCAAGCAGGCCCGGCCCCTGCCGAACGGAGTTGCAGCGAAGTGGAGCTGACAACTGCGTTTGGCGGAAGGGCGGGCTTGCTTGTTGGCTGAGCGATGAGCGAAGCCTATAACTCCGTCTGGTCGGAAAAAAAATTTTTCTGTCTGTCTGTCTGTCTGTCTGCACGTCCGTCTGTCCGCACGATAACTCGAGAACGAACTGAGAGAGCGACCTGGGATTTGCAGGGTCGTTTTGTGCCATAAGACAGATCGAGTTCGAAGATGAGCATTCTAGCTCAAAAAGTGGATTTTTAAGAAATCAAAAACAACGGGTCCCAAAAATTGCGTTTTTTAAAAATATTTTTTTATGGTTTTCTAAGGGGTAACTCATCAAAGTAGAGCCCTTTTGGGCGAAACTTTTGTCTGTTTTGCTATAGCTCAAACAGTTGAGGCGCTAGAGGGTATATTTGACGAAAATAAGCGAAAAAATGTACAACCCTGCATGCTTAGTGGAGGTGATTGGCCGTTGACAGACCGTCAGGCCCGTACCTTTGTGTACATTTTTGCACTACCCGACTCGGGTGTCAGCGCCGCAAGCCAAGGTAGATGTACGCCAGGCGCGTCGCAGCGTAACAGTGTTTCGTGAGATATCGCGAAGCCTGTTACGCGAGACGTCGTCTGGCGTACATCTACCTTGTTATCCGTGGCATCGACGAGGCCCTCGACATCACGGGGGAGCTCCTGACTTTCATTTCTTTAAAAGGAAACACACTTGTAAGGGACATTTTTGCTGCTTTGTTGCAAGCATTTGACACCTTCAACGTGTCCTGGAATAGTTATGTTTTTTCGATAAATTGTCACTGCCCCTCACCCTCTTTCCCCCGTCTCCTAGAAGTCTACTTTTCCCATTCATTCTGTCCTTCCCCGGTTCAGCGCGGTACTTAGTTGCTGTTTTTTTTTTTTTCTTTTTTGCAGTTTTATTGGTTTTGCGACGGCGTCGGATGGTGCGACATGGGCGATGGGTGACATAAAAGATGGCCTTGTGGCCCTTGATCGGAAACACATGTGGAGGCTCGGCCTTCCGGACGGTATTCTACACGCCTTCTGTATCGTGCATCAAGAAGCACTCAGCGCTAGCGCTCTGGAGGCGTCTGATGTTATGGATTTCGTTACTAAAGTGGTCAACAAGATGTGAACAGTAGGGCTGAGCCACAGGCAGTTCCGTTCTTTTTTGGAAGAAATCGGAAGTCAGTATGAGGACATGCCGTATTATTACAATAAGATGCGGTGGCTATGTAGGGCCAAAAGATTCTTTGATTTGTGTAAGATTTTGGTTGGTTTTCTAAAGGAGAGAAAAATCATTGCCACTTTTCCACAGCTTCAAAATCCAGAACTAGCATTTTTAGATGATGTTACGGAGCACGTAAATTCTCTAAATCTATCTTTACAGGGCAAAGATAACCTAATTATTGACATGTTCCAAAGTGTTATTAGTTCCGAGCCGAAGTTAGGGCCTTTATTCTCTGAAATTCAGAAAGGGAACCTGTTCAATTTTTCACATTTAAAATGCCTCGGCTTGTTGAGCGAGCAGTTCCAGAACGAGTGCGTCGTCACTCTTTGTAATCTTAGGGAGAAGTTTCAGAGTAGTTTCCACGATTTCAGGAAACTAGAAATAGACATTGCCCTCTTTTCGGACCCTTTCTCTGTCAATATGTCTGATGTGCCTGCGGAACTGAAATTAAATTTAATTGACTTGCAGCTTGACAGGGCCTTCCTTAAAGACAAAATATCTGTCTGATTCTATGAAAGAATTTTATTTATCATTACGGAAAAAATACGAAAATCTTGCAAAAATGAGCAATGGAAATGTTTGCACTATTTAGTTCAACTGTTTTGGCTCATGCAGTTCGCTTAAAGTAAATTTCCTTCAAGGCTTACGGACGAAAATCTCAGCGAACTCCGTATCATGTCCAGAAACAGTGTGGAGCCCCGTTTGCAGGTACTCATGTTTCAGCGGCGCTCTCAGGTTTCACCGGTTTGATGCGGCGCTCCGTTCGTAAATCACGCGTTGGCTTGACTCGCTATGGTCCGGCTCTCGGCCCGAGCCTGAGTCGCTAGCCCCCCTCCCCCTCCTCGGCCTCTCTCCCACCACCAGACCGGCTCTGGTAGAGCAGCAGTCTGAGACCCCTGGCCTAAGGGGCAAGCTTGAGAACCTGCGATTTAATATTCTCAATGTTTGGAAAGCCGTGCAAGGTATTGTCATTTTTTCAGTCCAGGATTTTTATTTGGTTTTCTCAAATATTTGAATTTTATAATTTCTCATTGAAGGTGCCATACTTTTAAAGTTTGAGACTGATTTAAAACCTACTGAGGCTGGTGTGGAGCTTTGGTATAGAGATGCCTACAGGCGCAATCAAGAGCATGGATCCGAGGCAAATGTCACCAAGAAATCTGGAGGAAGAGGATGAAAGAAGAATTCATAATGCACCCCTTGAATAATTTGTTTTGTAGAAACGTTGATATTTCTGTCGTGTCAGAAGTTATTTATATTTTGTTTTAAGTCGACAAAGTAGTGTAGCCTTTTCTGTAACTGGAGCTTTTACTGGTTCGTGGAAACTTTTTCTAATTGTCGACTGCTGTCATGTATGCCTTGCCCATGTCGCTGGCGCCTGCCTCGCCCCGCCTCTCTCCAGCGCGGCGCCGCCCCCCGCGGCCCCGCACTCACCGGCCCGCCATTGCCGTCATCTAATCCACTTCAACATTGTTCTCCGCAGGAGTGAGTCAAGTGTTCGGGGCTTTGTGCAAATAGCGTGCCGGTGTGTGATCTATACAGTGGTCGGATGTTAACTCGTTATACCTCCGTTTGGAGATTTGTGCACCTCCTCGGTTTACCAGCTGTGTTGTGGTGTGTACCACATAAAACCGGCTCGGTTTCGTTTTCTATACGGTGTTTCCGATGTTAATCGTGTTTTGTTTTTCCTAAGGTTTGCGGCGGTTCTGGAGTGTTTATTGTGCCTGTTTTCCGAGGAAGGCCCGTGTACTGCCATGAGGTCATCAATATTGAATTGGCATTGAGAAATGAAGCGGTAGTAAGAAGAACATAAATGGAAGAATAAAAGGCGCCCTCTTCCTCTCCTTT